TTCTAAAGAAAAGACTAAACAAGACCTAATAGAATTGTTACGTCCAATGGAAAACATTCTAAAAGAGCAGACACACGCAGGAGGGAAGATATTACTGAAACATATTTAAAATAAATATCATATTGAAATTGAAGGTGAGAATATGCAATAGTGAATTATTGATGATATTTGACACTTTCAAGAATTAAATATTAAATAAAATAAATTAAAGAAATCTTTTGGTTTTATTTTGGGCTTATTGTTATAACCAGTAGCGTCAGTTTGTAGAGTAACTGTTTCCTGAATTTAATCACAAAGCTGCATTGAAAAGAATTGCCACTGCCATGATTTTTCAGTCAACTACAAGAATTTATAAAGTGTATGCATCCATTAGCTCAATTAATTACAATTCAAGTCAAGAAATTATGCAGGTGATCAGAACTTAAGAATAGTAAATGTAATGTTAGCACATTAATTTTTGTAGCAAAAAAATCCTATCAGAAACTCAATCAATATTCTAGAAATTATGAACAACTAGATGCCAACAGAATCTTTATTATCTATACTTTACCAAACTATTAATTTAGATTTTATCCCAGCTAATTTTGAATCAGTTATTTTCATTTGCAATTTTTATCCTGTTTGAAAATTACAATATGTAAAAATTATAAATGTCTTAATTTTCAACAAAAATAGCCTTGGTTAAATAACACATTTTACATTTTATTAAAACTTAGCTAAATTACATGAATGGCAGGTACATTTTGGCATGATAGATAAACTAATGTCCTTTATAAACAGGTTTTCTTTTCTCAGCAAATGCTTTCAATCCTTCTAATCTGTCTTGGGTAGGAATTACTTGAGCGTAACATGTTTGCTCAATAGTATATCCCGTGGACATATCAACCTGAAACCACATAAAGTTAAATATATAATATTTGAATTTCTATATTCAACATTTACCTGTAATCCTTTATCCACTGCCAATTTTGCCATCCTAACACCGATTGGCCCATTTGGTAATATTTCCTCAGCAATTTGTACTGCTTTCAAATATGCTGCATCTTTGTTCTCAGATTGCTTCACAACATGATTTGCAATTCCTGCACATGATTTTTAAAAAATGAAATAATTTGCGGAATCAGGTTAGTGAATAAAGAGGCAGCTAACATTTTCAACATGATTAATTGTATAAGTATTACAATTTTGTTATTTTAACTGCTCAAAGAATTTGGTGTTTATGGTATTTCGGAGATTATTCATTTCAATTTAAAATAACTTTTATGATTAAGCAGTTCGGCCATTTCATCTTTCATATTACATTTGATATAAATGAAGAATATTATAGTTTGTATTTAGGTAGTTTACTTTCAGATTTTTTTATTTTGGAAGCAAACATTGTGCTGCAAACTACTTGTAAATTTTTATTATAGATTATGGCTTACTGAAGAATAAATATACAAATATCATTAAAAATAAATTTGGTTTACCATATTCTTTAGCTTCAGTGCCACTTAAAACTCTTGCAGTAAATATGAGTTCCTTAGCTAGAGATGGGCTGATTCTTCTTGGCAATCTCTGGGTACCACCAGCACCTTGATTGTGTGAAAAAAATTCAATAAGGTACTGTCTGTATACTCGGTGAGTTCAAAAAAGTTTTTTATAGCTGTACTCCTTTACTTATATATATATATATATATTATATATATATATATATATATATATATTAGTAGAACTGAACTCAATATAGCTTCAGTGAAATCAAATTTTAATTAAATCTTCTTTATCTAATTCTATATGCAAAGTAGAACTACAAGCATTATCTTTACCTGGTATTATTGCCAACTTAGTTTCTACTAAGCCCAACTTAGCAGTATCTGATGCAGTTATAATATCACAAGCTAACGCCATTTCTAAACCTCCTCCAAGAGCTACACCATCTACGGCACTAATAACAGGCATTGGTAATTGTTCGATTTTAGTTAATAATTCTCTTAATGAATTAACAAATACTTTAACTTCATCTGGAGACAGTTTTGCACGCTCCTTCAAGTCTGCACCTGTAAAATAAATGATGCTTATATATTATAGATCAATTTTATTTATTCATATCAAATATATTTCTGTTTTGCTTACCAGCAGAAAATACACCTGGAACTAAACTACGAATAATAACTGCTCTCACACTGTTATCATGGCTTATCGATTTTACAGCTGAAGACAATAAATCTACAAGATTACGACTAAAAATATAGGAATGAAACAATTTCTGTAACTGAAGTAGTCAAAGTTTTGAAATGTATAATAACTTAAAGTACCTAAACGCGTTTTTGGCTTCAGGCCTATTTAAACCTAAGACAACTATACCCTGCTTATTTTCTGATAAATAATCTACTTTCAAATCTTCAGTATTTGATACCGAATAAAATCTGCTATTAATTCTAGCAAGATTTCTAAATGCTGATCTGAGCAAACTTTGTTGCATCATTTTTAATATTATATTATTTTTAACTATTAATATTAACAAGTTCCTGCATACAAATTTAAATTCTGTTACAATGAATGTTACGGAAATTCATTATCATTAACCATTCAGCAACAGGTCAAGAAGAGGTCAGGGCAGAGCCAGGGGTTGCAAACTTAGTATATCATTACACATACTTATTTCCACTTAAATCACCGATAAAGAAATAACATCTTGGCCAACGTTATCCTTCCCATCAGCTGTCAAATCGAATCGTGGTAAACAGTGCGAGACTCTTCTTTCATCTATGGTGCGAGACATAAACTAGGGAAAGTTTCGCCCACACTGGCGCTGATAGCGCTAAGTAAAGCGTTTCGTACACAGTGGCGCTGTTTATCAATCAGATTCAAATTAGATTATGGGCCTATTCTGTAAGTAAATTCAAAGTAATAAAATAAGATTATACTAAATTATAATATATTACCGTAATGATATTTTTATGCTAAAATTTTACAAAATGTATTATAATAGACATAAAATTACCATTGGTTTAAATTCAAATCACACATAAGTTACCACGTTACCATAATCGTATAAAATTAAAACTATAGGTATAGATAAATATCACAGGCCTACAAAAAAAAATTTGGCATCAAATGTTAGAGCTGATTCTTATAGTATTTTTTGCGCTGATTTCAAATCTGCAAACCATTTTTTTGTATCAGCTCTAGTTTTGAACGTGGAAAGAAGTTGCCGAAACCAAGTCCATTGTAGGTCGTCACGGAAAAGAACTTTTCACAGTGTCAACTTTGTCTCCAACTAAGGCCGAATGGGTCTTGTAAGTTTGTATGTACAAGTAGACATATCTCATTAAAATAATATTCTGAATTGTATTACTATTTTGTACTTTCATTCCTTATATATCATATATATCATATCTTGAAAACTATAGCTCATAGAATAAAACCAATGTCATTTTTGAAATCAGCGCCCCAAATATACTTAAAAACAGCATTAAAATCGTTTGCACTATTTTCTTTGTTATCAAGGCAATTTTCTTATCTGTGTATCAACGGTTTTAAGTATTTTACAACAAGTCTTTCAATAATAGATCGCAATTGAATTCTGTCATTCACAGTAGGGACTATTAATCATGTGATCATTTTTCAAGCATTTTTTTAACCCCCCTACTTCTTGGCAATGCGTAGTGCTATTCAAAATCCCTCTCCCCCTCTCAATATCACATTATTTTTAGCACTTACAAAAATTGTAATGAAAATCTAGGTAAAA